TACATGTGGCTTTCGTCCATTCGCGACTCATATGGCACGGTCAGCTCGATCAGGATGATCTGACGTTTCTCCGCAGAGTGTAGGACTATGTAGGGTCACAGACCGGTCTTAAGGATTAACTCAGGGTACCTCTCGTGGCCAGGTTTGTCGACCGCCAGTAGCCAGTCTCTCGCACAGTCAAGCACAGATGGAGCGTATGCGATTTTAGTTCTCGTGTCTTTGTAGACCTGCCCAGCCTTGATGAAGCGCATAGGTGTGACCGTAGAAATGGCCCTAGCATTGACCCTCATTCTAGCTTGGTCCACAATGTCCGCTACCTCTTTCAGGACTTTATTGTGGCGCCATGTAAATCTTCTCTGGCCTAGGGCTTTTTTGCACGATAACAGGACGTGCTCGAGCGTCTGCTTAGCTCTGCATAGTGGGCATGCCGGGTCGGTTGTCGCACGCCATTTCAACATATTGACGCCAGAGGGTAATACATCATACGCTGATCTTATCACGAAGCTCAACCGCAGCGGGGCCATTCGCCTGATCTCTCCCCATGTGAGATTCCGTGGCAAGGCGCTCTCGAGGCCTGTCCGTTGACCTTGCTGCGATTGCCGTGCGGCTTTTTGAACACGAGTCTCGTTTTCGGTGTTCCTGATCTGTTCTATAACCGTGCCTCTGCGCTCTTTCGCTGAGGCCTATGACCATCAACAGACTTTCCCATGCCCTAGGCCTCGTCGGTCGGTTTGCGTCTATCCCATGACTTCTTTAAGTTTTAGTGCATTTTGGGCAGAATCTATCGCATCTGACACGATCAATTTTGTGCCTGTCTTGAGAGCCGGCTGGACAGCGATCACAGTGGGGTCTGAGGACCTTGCCGACCTTGAACTCTTCCGTTATCGACTTGAACGGAAGCACCAGCTTCGCCTGTTTGCAATACAGAGCCACATCGGTCAGACAAGGCGGCGCTCCAAGCCATTCCCTCATGGCGGTGTTGATTGTTTTCTCCATGGTCTCAGCTGCGGTCATGCTGACCTCGTACACGAGCAGCGGCCAGAGGAGCTTTGGGATCAACATATGCTGGAGGCACCACACCTTGAACTTCCCGATCAGCCTGCACCGCTCGATCGCGACCAGGCCTGTAGCCAGTGACTCGTGTATGCGCCGGACTTATGCTTTATCGGATAACTTGGAATCGTACACATGGCCAAGACTTTTCACTGGTTCGCCCAGAACCGTGGGGATCCTGTTCTTCGACACCATAAAGCTGATTGCCACCACCTTACCTTTACGGATTGAGAAACTCCTCGACTTCTGCAGTCTGAACTGCATTCCGCTCCACTCGATAACGCAGTTCAACCTTTTCAGAATGTTTGGGCGTCCACCTCACTGCCCGTTATAATAGTTGTGTCATCCATAAATGCACACAGTGGCGGCATCCAGTGGTACCCGAGCTGAAGGCCTTGACCGTAGCCGGCCGCCCCGTCTAACATTACCTGCATGGCCATAACTAACAGTATAGGCGAAATGGTACACCCCTTCGCTATCCCAACCTGGAGTTCATAATTTACTTATTGGAAAAATCAAGTTAAAACTAAGGAAAGCTAAAATAGGAGAACAAAAACCGCAGCAATATGATGTAGGAAAATTACAAGACACACATATCAAACAGTAATTCAAGATAAAACTCAAAAACAGATTCAGCATTTTACAAGAAGAAACAGAAATGGTAATCGACAAATTTAATGAAGCAGTCGAATTTAGCAGAGGAGAAAATATTAGGATGTAGGCGGTCAAGGAAAGAGGAGTGGATTTCCCAGTCGACGTAGGAGAAAATAGATCAACGGAAAGATATTAAAGGACAAATGTTAGATGCAAAATCAGCCAGACTGAGAGGACAATTTTCTTTAAAATATGCACTAAAAACATGAGGTTAAAGCAGGGGCAAAAGCAGATACACTTTCGTATACTGGAAAACTAGTAACATAGGCAGAGGAAGCAGAAAAAAAGCAGGACACCAAAAACATTGTACAACATACTAATAAATTGAAAGGAAATGTGGTATCGCAACCAAAATTAGTTACTGAGATTATCTAATAATTTATAGTACAATTTCTACCATAATCACAACCCAAATCAAACAAAATATGAAACAATACAAATTACAGTTTGGTCATATAAATAGTTACACGATACTAAGGTTGCGTATTCTTTACAGGACGTTGCAGAACCAACCCCCACAGCCCCTGGCTGTTGTGTGGTTTTTCTAGGCAAATTTACGTCCAGTAGTTTGCCATTGCCACTGAACGGTCGGCTTTCTTGATACCACTGTCGAAACTAATGTAAGGCGCATGGCCCGCAGCTGGGATCAAACCCGACATCCCCACATTACGAAGCGTTCGCATCGACTTAGCCACAGAGCCGCCAGTTACATGATATATACATTTAAAATAACAAGTGTATATTCTGAGAACTCACTTAACACTACATATTCCAGTTATAACGTAAAGGGCTGGACAAGCTATATTTGAAAATTTTTAATTATTGCTATTGTGTACACGTATGTCACAAGAAAATGGCGAAGAGTTTTACTATAAATGTAATTTTGTCAGCTGCACAGCAGCCTCCTTCCTCTTCACCCCTTCCTCCAGACATTTTTTTGGGGCCAAAGATTTGTTGAGAATGAAAAGCAAATCGACGTTTTGAAAAAAAAAAAAAAAAAGCTCGACAAATGATATCACGCCATCTAGTTTGAGAATTAAGGTGAAGGCAATCAATGCAACTTTACGCTTACTATAGAACAAGTTGCACACAAATTTGATTGTAATGGATTCACAAATCAGGCTAAGAAAAGTGAGGATAGGCATACTTCGTGCAGTATGGCATGCATCTCGCCGACAGTAAACGCTCGTTGGTTATTTTCCTCAGTGTATACCGGTGTTTGAAGAACTGAACAGGTACACACTATTGGATGATCCAACGCCTTCTCTAGTAGAGTAGGCCGTGGAGGATCCTACACTAGTGGGTTGGGAACTTAAGCTCGCCAGAACAGATGTGGTCAGTGCCCTTTAGGAGCAAGTGAACAGTGCCGAGAAACGAACAGATCATCACTGCCTGTAGGGAATAATACAAAAGGGAGTAACCAAAGTATCTGACAAACATTCAAAGTAAAGCTAAATAGATACATATTATGGTATCAATAGGATATCAACTCTACACTGGCTACCGAAGTGTAGTAGTGGCAGCAGCAGCAGTAGCAGCAGCAGTAGAAGCAGCAGTTGTAGTCCCCAAAGAAATACTTTATTGTTCAATCATAAAGTATGAAATAAAGGAGGCTCGCTTTCAGATCCAGCTGCGACTCGCTGCAGCCCACCGGTGGTGTTCGAAACCGGGCAATTCCCGGGCTTCACCCAGTTTCTAGGTAATGGGTACCAGAGTTAACACTCTGGGGTAAATTGAGGAACGTCGATGTAGCTACATAGTTGCGTACGGACAGCGACACATGCGGACATTTCTTATCAGCTGTCCGTACTGGTGGCAGAGCGCTTGTGCCTCATGCGTTTATTTGTACGTTTTCCTGTATTGCCACACTAACATGAGATGTAGAGAAGAGAATACTGCTCTCATCAGTGAAAATTCAGACGAAGCAGATGCACTTATCTACACAGACGGATCCGTTATAAACCAGCAGCAGAACAGTCAAAGAAGCCAACGGCGCTTTTTCCATTACAACCAGCAGCATGGCGATGAAGGTGATGGCAGTGACGCAAGCGTTTGTCTGTCTCGAAACACAAAAATACACCCCCCGTATGCATACTCAGTGATTCAATGAGTATAATCCGGAGGGTTCAGCAGGTTCGTGCGAAGACAATGGCTTGAATCATTACAGAAGTCCACTGCGTAGTGGAGTAACCTTTATTTTTGTTCCAAGAAACGCAGGCGTCGATGGAAATGAAAGAGCTGATAGGTTGGCTGGATCTGCTATCACTACCGAGAGTCAGCCTATGGATCGTGCTGATATTATTAATGCCCTCAGAGAAGTGGGAAGGATAGAGGACTTTGGGGGCAGTGAATCCACATCACTCGCCAGAATGGCAGATTTGGGAATTAAGATCGGCATAGCAAAAAACTAGACGCACACCAGACGACTTGTTAATCAATATAAAACTGGTGCTATTAGCCATCGGACGTTGGGGTTAATACTGAGGGGAGGATCTGAGCACCTATGGGGATGTCCGGAGTGCAAGGATCATAACCCAACTAACTAACTAACTAACTAACTAACTAACTAACTAACTGATTTATGGGTTTTAACCGTGTGCAATGACCCTGGTTCACGTCTCCCTTGACCTTTAGTTACAAGACATAGAAGATCTTCAGTAGAGACGATGTGATGAGTCATGTACCTTTTTTCTTTAAAAAAGACACTCGGTGTTGACTACGGGCAGCTATTTTTTTTCCCTAGGAAAAGTGTCCTGATTATTAATAATATTACCTTTTCCCCCCTCCCTTTAGATTAAAACTAAGTGACTCGAAAGGCCACCTTTCGGATTCGAATCCAACAAGAACAAAATCCCTGACTTCCTGTTGAACCGTTTAAAACAAATGTAGCATCCCACTGTCACGAAGACACATTTGTAATATTGGTTGAGTTGTCACTCCCCACTCACCAAAGGTTCCAAAAGGCACGTGGTTTTCGAGGGTAAACACACAGAAAGCTATATTGGACTAGGGTCAAAGGTTAGCGTACTTGCTGCTATGCAACGCCGTCTGTAGCAGAAGGTAATTTGGCTAGATACGCACGACAGGAAAAATAGGTCACTGATTGCACACTCTTAACTTCGTGAAAACCTATTTTTAGTCCTTAGTATCTTGCAACAGTAAGGACAGTTGGATTTTATATTCTGTTACATAAAAAAAAATAGTTGAATCAGATTTCTGTAATAGGAATAGCTAGTGTATAATAATGACGGATATCGCTGAGCAGGACACATTACAGAGCAAGCTAAAACAAGATGGCAGACCTGGGCTCTAGTCTGACCAAGATGGACTGGCTCCACAAGCTCAAAGTCGGCGGACCCATGGGTACTCCTGCCTTTCATGGAGCTCAAGGCACAGTAGATGCGTTAGGAAGATTGAGCGGACAGGTTGGAGTTCCAGGCTGCCCTAATTCGCCGGGGAGTTACGATCATGGAGTACAACCTCACAAAGATGGAAAACCCCCGTACAGTTACGCCAATCTGATCATGCATGCTATAAACAGCACTAGCAAAAAACGTATGACTTTAAGTGAGATTTATGCTTGGATATGTGACAATTTTCCTTACTACAAAGACGTGGGAAGTGGTTGGAAGGTATGTAGTGAGCCTGAGTATAGTTATTGTTATGAATTGAATTGTGTGAATCTTATGTTTTAGTTTTGGTTGTAGCTGGCCCTTCTTAAAAACGGCATTTATAACTAAAAAACCCTTCCCTTCTTAAACCCAGTAAAGGGGAATTAACAATTCACAATAAAAAAGAAATGAGTACATAAAGTTTGCTAATATATATTTACTGTAAAACAGGCTTCTCTATACAGGTGAAAATAAAGTAAGTATTATTATATCATACAATGTCTAGTTTATTTTTGATGATAGGATATTATCTGATAATATCCTAACAAAACTAAACTAGACATTGTATGATATAAATATAATACCTCATTTATATCATGTACAACTCAAGACAACTTGTCCCTTCCTTGTCTATTCAAGTTTCTCACACTGCAGCAGCTAGGATTTTCAATCACTAGTTTTCTGTCCAGTGTGGGACAGTTTTTCGTTCATTTAAAGCCCCACCTCGGCTGTAATCACAGGCCCTATTATAACCTGAAGGTTGAACAGGATTTCTGGGACTTGTGCCACTTTGATCCTCATCTGAATGGTGGCACTTTATGTCACCGGGGTTGGTCGCTCGTTGTATGGTCCTAGTGTGGTTGAATCACACATAGACTGGTAAAATAGACATGCCACAGTCAGTTATTGAAAAACTACAGGATTAAATGTTGGTGGAATGAAAGTACCAATCATCATCATTTTTACCATAATATTATTCTTGCCTTGTTAATGAAAATATTGTAAACCATGCATTTCACTCAATAAACATATGAATGTGTGTGTGTGTGTATATATATATATATATATATATATATATATATATATATATATATATATATATATATTTTTTTATATATATATATATATATATATATATATATATATATATATATATATAAATATATATTTTTATATATATATCTTCTAGCCGCACTCACCAGCTAAAAACTCTGGCATAAAGTTCTGGTTGTTTGTCAACTTCTGAACTTTAGTCTTGTTCCAGAACTTGACTTTTGCATGAACATCCCTTTACAAATCTGGCTTTTTTGTAAGCAGACTTTTAGTCCCTTGCCCCTCAGACTGATGCACTCTAACTTTGAAGGAAATCCCTAATTAGTTGACTTTTATGACATGACTGTCACATACCGCTCGTGTCCCGTGCCTGATTTAAGGATTTTTCCTTATAAACCAACAGCACTGTGAAATAGAATAATGTTGAGGCATCGGCTCGTATTGGTCTAAAGGGAATCCTGTGGCCAATATACGCCCAACCTATTTCAGGAATAGGGCAACTCAAGTTATGGCACTACAGAATGAATATCTAATAATCCTAGGCGCAACTTGGCTGGACGCCCCCACTACTATAAAAAGATAGCCCCTAGGCTTGATATTGTAATACCACAGCCATGTTAACACAGATTAAGATTAATAATCACACAAACATAAAAGCTAAACAGTTGGAACAGTGAAACAGGGACACCCAAGTCAGTAATGAAAACTTTCAAACATGTAATAAATGCAACACATACATTATATAAGAATCAGCAAAGAGCTTCAAGAACCCAGAGTGATGTAAAGGACCAGAACTTCAAAACAGATCTGACTGATTGTCTTAGAGATTCCTGAAGTCCGCCTAGATCATCATCATGATCATGTGGAGGATTAACAGTGAAGCCTGGCAATAAACCAAAGATTGCCCACACTTATCTGAATCCATGGTTTCTTGGACTTGCCGGATGTTCAGTCACTCTGTTGTTACGTTGAAGACAGTTCCACACTAGACACTCGAACACTGGAGGTACACCCAAGCTCCTGGAGAGGATACTCTGACACAAAGTCAATCACTTGAGGTACAAACAAGCTCCTGGAGAGGATACTCTGACACAAAGTCAATCACTTGAGGTACAAACAAGCTTCCGGAAAAAATGATGGTGAAGGTACGACACCCATAATGTTGTCTGTAGACCAACTGGAGGATTTTATTTGATGGGTGACAAAAGTTTGGCTTACAATCTGATGCCCACCACTGGCTTAGACATAGATGACTTCCCTGTTGGTGGTTTTGTGGACCGCCGATTCACTGCCTGGCCTCAAAGGAGATATCATCCTGTATCAAGAAGCAACTCAGAATTAGCAGTCATCTCAGGGGTTACATGTCAAACTCAGTTTATTAACATCCACATTAGTAATCATTCAGAGGACAGCTCTCAGGATAATGAGACAATATAAGTCTCTATGTAACATCTCTGTCAGTCCGTCAGTAACAGGGAAAGGAGATGAGTACTAGAGTGGAGACAGATAGACTCTATCAAACATAGAAAATCAACTCTCCACACCCACATCTGCACTTGTAGATATACATCCCATCTCTCTCTCACATATATATTATACCTCCACAGTCTGACACTGTGATGTGGTGTTAAAAATAGCCTCTGACGTCACAGCGTCTTGCCGGCTGCTGTGTGACCCAGTTAAATATGTCGGCTAATTGACCCGAACTATGTCGGTTCGTTAAAGAATAATTAGCTTGCTAGATTTAAAATATTTCTAATAGTTTTGGGTTAGGTAGGGCACAAACTATCATTTTGCGAAGGGAAAGGTTAGGTTTCAGGGGTTTGAGTGTCTGGACACCAAGAATGGCCTAGTTCTGTGCTGTCACACAGCTGAATTTTTCCTCCCTGCAGCAGCGGCTAACCTTATAGAGAAATATATCATGGTACTCGTACACTATAATCAACTTACCCAAGCTTAGGAATCCTTCAAAGATTAAACGCGTATTTTGAATGCGCCAAGATTTAATCAGAGAGCTGAAATACTTCTTTACACCTAGGTAGTCTGGCAAAGAATGACCCCGCCTGATCTCGCTTGGCGTCTCTAGAAAGAGGTCCCGTATTAGTACGCCAAGGAGTAAAAAGGCTTCCGTGAATTCTGAATATTAATCCAGAAAATATCTATCCCACAGTTTTAAGTTTGAAAATGTAGACTTTTCAAAACAACTAGAGGTTATAGAAATATATATTCCACCAGATAGAGGTATAAAAAGATATGAGGGACTATATACCCATCGGACCGATCTAAATTTGAAATGTGACCTGCCCGCTAGGGGCGCCAACGTCACGAATATTCCAATGTGCAGGGTTTGGTTGATTCACTTCACGACAATGACTTATGAGTTGGATTATCTTCACACCATTCATTGGTACTTATATTCCCCATTCAACATATTCATTAGCATTGCATGGTTAATAGTTCCAGTTCAGTTCTAGTTTACAAGACTTCTTATGCGTCCGGGGTGCTCACATGCTTGACTGTGCCAATCTTTACTCCCAGTTCGTAGTGATGTGGCCCTGTCTCTCTATGGGCATTGACAATGTATGCATGATCCATAGGCTGACCATCTGCAGCTAAAGCAGGACCTGCCAGTTTATTAGCTCTCTCATTGCCAGTAACACCTGCATATATGAAGGTAACTGCACACACCAGAGAGTTTTGCTGTGACCAAGTCCTCTGTTGCGTATGGAGCCTGCCTCATCATGCTCATGGAATCACTCAGCGTGCGGGCACACACACACCAACATGGGAATAGTCCTTTGATTCTATCCACATGAAAGCTTATGTCCCCGTCATGAACTCCATCGTTAATACTCCTGGTAGTCATGGAGAAAGCACTGCTGTTTCTTGGACCGTTCTGCCTGAAGAGAAAGCTGTAATTGCCAATGCATTCCTAATGGGGCTATTCCTATTTCTTTCTTCTTCCTCAATGGGGCCCCAGAACCCACATGGCAAAAGATCAAACAATGTTGAATAAGGAAATGACTTCATAGCAATCGGAAAACCCCCCATAGGTGCTCTGTCCCTATCTTCAGCAGCAAGCGAAGAGTTCCAATTCCGATGGTAGCAGTAACTGTCTGATTGTGTATCCGTCTCACCTTTCCCATGAGTGTCGAGCATCAGCCAGATCCCCTGGTAACTCCCTGTAGTGTGATTCTCCTCACATCACAATGATCTGTTCCTCTGCACTGTTCACTGGCTTTCAAAGAGCCCTTACAACATCTAGCTTTTCATACCTCAGTTCGCCATTGCATGATCAGAACCAGCCAGTCTATCCGTCTGCTCATTTTCCAACACTTGATTGACCTGGTGAAAATATTTAAAGGATGTTAACTGTGTGAAGGGTCTGTCCTGTTTGTTAGAATGCAGCAATCCCAGTTACCAGCACAGATACTCAATTGAAGATCTGACGGGAGAGCAAGAGCTGTTGTCAAGAATTTCAGTTTTCATTATTTCTATTTAGTAAAAAAAAATGTTGACAAAACGTTTAAAAAAAAAAATTGAAAGAACAGTCGTGTAAATACAAATTCTTAGCATTCAAATATTATATATTAGCATTTTTATATAAGCTGACAGCATGCATTGGTAAGTGTTAATTAATTCAGTGACATTAACATAAAAGGTGATGTCAACATGTATGAAGAAAATCTAGCACAAATCTGTGTGTATTTAGGGCATGGAAATTTTGCCTAGAAGATATAGTTGAATTCAGAATAGCTCAAACAAAAACTTGTAACAAAATAAATAATTGTCTAGGCTCTTTTTGTCACCTAAGGTGAGAAACTGTTCTTAAGAACTATATAAAGCATTTAATTATGTATGTAAGTCAGTATATCTCAAACTATTTTAGTCGCAGCACCTTTTTTCAATTAAAATTTTTCCCACAGCGCTCTAACCTAAGTAAAAGTATGACTATTCGTGTGTAAGAGATGAAAAAAAAATTAAACTCGTGTGTCTTCCGATATTTCGTGGCACCCCTTTGAAGAGGTCGTGGCTCCCCGGGGCGCCGGGGGCACAGTTTGGGAATCACTGATGTAAGTGAATAATATAGTAATTCCATTAGAGAATAGTATATGCGGAAGCTACAATTCATTCATTTGTTTTCCATTTGTGCAATTATGTGTCACATCAGGCTTGCAGTCTATGCCTCCATTGTGGTCTGTCATGTGCAGTCAGTTCAATATCATGGGTGGAAGGATGCTACAAGTTTTGTTGTTGTTGCAATGTATGAATGATGAAAACACCATGGACATATTCAAAATGTAGTCAAGATGTTTTAAAAGAAATTAATAGAAGGACAAACTACCCTCATCAGAAGAAGAATACATTCTTTAATCACATGAAAAGTGGAAAACTGAAATATGTGTCTTGACAGTGGGAAAGTTTAGGGGATGGACCATTAGAGATAGAGATGATGCTGGATTATTTGGCATGGCATGAAAGAACATGTGTCAGACAAATTATTGAAACTTCAGGAGACAGAAGGCTGTGGACATAAATTACTACCAGTGGCCTATTAGATGGACTGTAAGAAGACAATGTTAATAATATTTTTGGCTAAAGCAGCATTGATAACAGGTCACCCCCCTTACAGCAACACTACACATGTTACAGAGTCTAGTTTTCTATGTTCTGGTACTGCTGCAATATTTACAGAAAGGTGTTTAACAGAAAGGCTACCCAGTCTAGATATTGATGTGGCAAAATGGAGAATATGAACAAATAGTTAATGTGTGCCTTATACAAGTACAATTGATAATCAATATTCTTGAAATATTAACTTGTGAAGGAATTGTGGAGACTTGAGTGACCTTAAGTGAGGAATGAAAAGTGAGAGAGAGAGAGACAAAGAGGGGTGGGGGGGGGGGGCAGTGTTCATGTATATCTACATATTATGCAAAATATAAGAAAGCAAAAAACTAACTATCTAAATTTGATGATAAAGATAAGGAAGCTGAAAGGGGTGACGGAATCTAGGGTATATCTATACTGGAGGAGAAAGGTAAAGAAAGAATGCTATAATGTATCTTAATTTGCTGTTAAAGATGGAAGAAACTTTTCTAAGTTATGTCTACATTTGATGAGGAGGATAAGAGATTAGTCCTAGGATGTATATTTGATGAGAAAGATAAGGCGGCAGTGCTATGTTATATCTCTACCTTTAATATGAAAGATAAAAAGCTTCAATAGGATGTGTCTATTTGGCGAGAAAGTTAAGAACTGCTATAATATGTTTGGTGATAAAGATAATGCAACAGCACAATAGTTTATCTACATTTAATTAGAACAATAAAAAAAGCTTCTTTAGTATATATTTACATTTGATGAGAAAGTTTAGAAATGCAAGGATATATTTATATTTGATGAGAAAGATAATTACCATACAATGATAAAACCATATTTCATGAGAAAGTTAAGAAATGTATTGTAAGATATATTTACTTTTGCCAAGAAATATAAAGAAGGGAAGATAGGATATATCTAATTTGCTAAGAAAGATAGAAGAGGAAAGGACAATATTTGATGAAAATGAAAAAGAAACAATACAAGGATGTATGTACATTTAATATGAAAGGTAAGGAAGGTGTGCTAGCATAAATGTTCGTTTGAGAAGAGACATAGTTTGCTGACTGATATAGAACAGTGGTTTTCAAGCTTTTTCATGTGGCGCCTGCCCTTGATATGTGGCAAGACCTGTAGTTTCTCGCTCCCCTACTGTTAATAAAATGTGATTAACAAGAGGAGGATAAAAAAGATCCCAAGCACTATTAACAAGAACTTGGAGAAAACATTCAGTGTAAAAAAACATGAAAGAAATCTGTAGTTAAATGAATGTGTTTTGTTAATTAGATTTGTAACGGTTTATGTACAAGCTGCTAATGAAAACAAACACATCCTTTGCTTGGACTGTACAAGTGTTACTGGCTAATGGGACACAAAATAACATTTATACTGTCCAACATATTATAGTCGGCGTATGTGGTTTAGGTGCTGTGAACGTGCTTCAGAATGCCGATGTGCTGGGTTTGATCCCAGCTGCACCCAATTTGACAGCAGACGGTGTTTTGTTGGTTTCACCAGTGTTATCGTGACCTGACCATTCAGTAAGCAGTGGCAAACTACTGAACATAAATTTTCCTAGAAAAACCACAACAGCAACAAAAAAAAAAAAAAAATTCTGGAATTGGTTCTGCAATATTCTGTAAAGGATACACAACTAAGCTTTTTCTTATGGAAGCAGTGGGTCTATTTCCCTTCCCCCCTCACCCCACATCCTGCCAAAATGACCCCCAGAATTCACAAGTTGAGCCAAGGATGTGAAAATGGTCTGTATTTTTACTCTGTTAACTTTAATGACTATTTTTGATTTTTTTTTTCTGTTTCCAGAATTCAATCAGACACAATCTGTCATTGAACAAGTGTTTTCTAAAAGTTCCCCGGTCAAAAGATGACCCTGGGAAGGTAAGCCCCTGCCGGTTTTGTTTTGAAAGATACTTTTTGTGGGTGTGCTGAGAAGTAACACATATAGTCAGAAGTATTTTGCCAACAATGTCAGACCTCAGTGTCATAAACAATGGTAACAAGAAAAATTTAACACAAGAAGCTATCATTTATTATCAAATTAAAAATGAAGACAATAAGACTTAGGACTGTTATATTTGTCATTAAAGAACTGTAATGAGATTGTTTTTGGTCTTCTGACGAGAAAGCCCTGATACCAGCTGGCACAGAGAGTCATGCTGAAGAAATATAATAAACACCGAAGCAATTGAAAGACCACACAAAAGATGGCACCACAAACAGCCTTAAAGAAATAAAGATTAACTTATGAACCATTAGAAAGATCAAACAGATGATGGTTAAATCCCCCAACAAAACTTTGGTGAGGTAACTAGAGAAAGAAGAGAAGAAGATCAAGCAGTATTCTAAATGGAGCAATAAGACACTCCCAGAACAGTTTATATCAGGAAGTAATTGGTGACAGTACCCCTGTTGAAAATAACAATAAAGCAGATTGTTTTGCCTTGTATCAAAATTATTATAAGAGCTAGCTCCTTCAGTACAGTGGCTAGCATGCTTGCCCATCAACCCAGTGGTTAAAGGTAACATCTCTATTAAGGGAGATTGTAACATTAACTTTGGCTCCCAGATCTTTAAAATAAAAGGCAGTCACTGAGTCCCTCTCCTGGCTTGAAAACCAGGTGCAGACACATGTAATGATTGTTACAGACTCTCCTCACGAAGCATGTTGAGAAAGGTGGAGACAAGTTTGTTCCATGCTGAGTGGCAAGCATCATTTAAGAAATCCTTGATAGTTAGCATCCTTTGGATATTTTTTCCAGGCAATGCATGTATGGTGGGGAATGAACAGGCAGACACATTGTTTGGTGCTGTAGCACTTATTGATAAATCAATGCACGACAAGCTAGATGTTATCTGTGACCCTTGGTTGCAAGTGAACAGAGGAAGGCACAAATAGATCATCACCATCCGAACTGAATCTTGCAGTAGGAAGTGATCAGGGGATACATCTAAAACTCAGCACTCCGGGAAAGGCAAGGGGGATATTCAATCATAACTTGACACTGCCTTCTGAAAATGGGGAAGTAGCTGTTATGAGAGTGTCCTGAATGCTTTGTTGTTGGTTTTTAACTCACTCAGCTGGTAATGGACTTCATCCAAGCATGAATGAAAGGTCAGCTAGTGTGTAGCTGGGCCGGACTTCTTAAACAGAACCTCTAAATCCAATTCCTGTTGCTATCCTTGTATACCTCTGTGTCAGTGCCAATGATGCTCTTATTTTTTCCAGGGATCATATTGGGCCATACAAACACCTCCACCTGATGATCCTCTTCCACCAACCAGGCATAGAAAAAAACGACCAAATGATCGAGTGAGTAGCTGTGTCACATTTTACTTGTTCTGTATCAACATCCTAGCACATCAGTCTGATCTCAGTTCATATTATGGGAATGCCCTGAGTGTTTTGGTGATGGTCTTCCCCTTGATGCAGCTGCCATCTCATTGTCTCCACGCTCACCATACTGTTGGCCCTGATGATTGGCATATTTTCTTTCTTTGCCCCAAAACTGGTTTCAGCATGCTGGTTCTCATTAAATACCCATTTCCAACGGGTGCTTTACCGTCTGTGACTCCTTTGTCTCAGCATCTCAGGAATGCAGCACATTCAGTATGTCTGACCTGCCCACACTTCTTCCTCCATCAACTACTGCAGGCAAAGCCAGTGCATTAACTCTTTCATTTTCTTTCACCCCTTCATGTCATTGTGTGTACAGCTAAGGTAATTTCTTGAAGCAGAACTTCTGGATGCTGTCAACCCATTCTAGTCAGGGTTTGCCAGTTTGGATTTCTGTAACCAGGCTGAGTGAGCCTGTCACTATCAGTGTGTGAGTTGCTTTCTTTTTCGCCTCTGTCTCCTTATCTTTGCTGTGTATGTCCACTCTGACTGCATCCCATAAAGGGTGAGTAGCTTATATGCTTGTAGAGAATGCTAGCCAGTTGAATATTAACCCTCTTTCTCCTAATTCCTGCTGTACTGTGCAGGCACAAGTTATGTTTATACTTTATTAGCAAGAGCTTTATTCCTTTTTGCAATACCAATGTCATGTCATTGTTATTGCTAAAAAAAAAAAAAGGGACTTATGCATTTGCTAATAAATGAAAACTTGTTCCTGAATGGTACATCGGGAATAAAACGGTATGAGATAATCTCTCGTTTGGAGCTTAGGGGAAGAATCAGATAAATGCCTTGTTGCATCTTTTGCCTCATACATTGTTGAAACTGGCAGGAAGCTATCTGGTCGTTTTTAGGAACACCTCTCCAATATTGACAAAAAGACAACTTAAACCAATCCCTCTCCATTTTTACAGCTCTGACCACAGAGATTAAGATATTCTATCTGTCACAGCTTTAAAGTCTTGCTCTGGCGATCATACCACGTGCCTCGTTCGGAAAATCGTCTTATTCAGGTGTTCTTAGTCCAGGTGGCATCAATATCCAACCTACCTTCATCTAAATAGTTTTACTATTATCATGTTTTTAATTTTTATTATTTTCTTTTCTTTTATTTCATATTTTTACTTTATTCTTTCTCCTATCAGTATAATGTATGTATCATTAACATTTGTATTTCTTTTATTCCTGCTATTATATTATATATTAACAAAATTACTTATTATTTTTGCGACTGTATTTTTTTAGTCATTGTTACTTTATTTTATTTCGTTCATTCCACATCACATTTTTTAAAACATTACTCACGTCACCACCTTAGAGATTTGAATACTCTCCTCTTTGTTACCTTTGTGTAGATCACTTCATGTTTGACAATGGCTGATGGCTGAAACGTTATTTGTTTTGTTTTGTGCATGTTTTTCTGCTTCCCCCATTGTTTAAGCTTTTTAGTCACAGTTCATTGGAATTCCTTGTATTAGCTTGACTGCAGTCACCCACATATTTTCACCATGTATTGGATACACATTGTAAGACTTGATAATAGTTTAACTAGAATGTACTTTTACTGAAACCCCCAAGGCAAATGAGAAAGGCAGAGAAAAAATACAAGTAGGGTATTAGTGACACTGTTGTTGATACTTTTCTGTCTTTCTAGACAATGATATTTGATTATGCAGTAGGGAGGCATCATTGGCACTGAAGACAGTGAGAGCCAGATTAGCATGAGTGCCCAGCCAAATATACCTGGTAGTGACTAGTCCTAACTGGGAACACAAATAAATTACTATATATGACAGAACTTAGGTTGTTCCTCCACAGAATGTGTTAACGGACATGGACGAGAAGCACATAGTTTGTTATCAGGAAACACTGTGTTATGCATCATCATCATCATGTAGCAGGTCCTTTGCAGAAAGAGGCTCTCATCGCGGTCTGCCTGAAAGAAACTCAGTCTCTCGCCAGCTCTCTTACCTCATGTACCTTCATACTCAAGGAGTCACTTATATCCTGTGCCCATCTTCATGTTGGTCGGCCCCTGCCCCTCCTTTCTGATACCTTCTGCTGTTATTTTTTCCAGTCCGTCATGGTGCTTCATATCACCAAAATATTTCAGCTTTCGAGACAGGTTGCTGTTAATTAGCCAATCTTCAATTATGTTCAGATCTTTCAAGATGTCAGTATTTCTCCTCTTCTTTGTTCAAGATATTCTGAGAATCTTTCTAGAGCATTTCAGATCAAAAGCCCCTATTCTCTTTCTTAGGGACTGGGAGATAGTCCATGACTCACATCCGTATGTTGCTACAGGGAAGATGCATGCTCTCAAAATTCTAATTTTGATCTTCTTGCTGGTGCTTAACCAAAGACTTTTAATGCTGTTTAATCTTCTGTATTATGCAGAATAGCTAAATAACACAAATGCAACAGAGATGTCCAATTTGAATTCAAGAACTACCATCATCATGATAGATAACCATATAAGATCCCAGTAGTGACCAGAAGCTTATTTAAGTTGATTGAACACGATCACAATGTTGTGTTTTTTCTTTAAGCGAGCAAGTAAGTGAAATGTTACAATCACAGCCGGTGGCATTAGGCATGGCATGATGTGACTAGAAAGACCTGCTCAGATTAATAAAATTCTGCAATTAGAATGTGGGATTTAACCACCTGTGTTGCCATCACTGGTATGAAACATGCTTCATCTCAGATTCTTAATATGAGGGGGCTGCATGGTCTCGAGGCATGGTGTCTGCCTCAAGGGCCTGAGGTTCCAGGTTCAGTCCCCGGTGAGGTCTTTTTATCATGTGGACTTGGACTTCTAGTAATTCTCAGTGGTCTTTGAGTAGTGAAATCGGATGCCCGTGTGCATTGTTGCGCGCGTAAAATATCCCTTAGCAGTTGGAAATTGAAAAGAATAGCCTAACGGTGCTGCCTGGACAAAATGTGAAGTTAAAAATCTACCCAAAGTATTTCAGGATCCTCGCCAGTGCTACAGAGCCCATGCACTGTGCTGAGCTTCTTTGGACTCAGACTTGATGTCATGATGTTGATCTGTTGTTCAAACCTCAGACTCTTAATCTAACTTCAGTCCTTATCAGCTTTATTCCAATGCCCTTCCTGATTTTCCCCCTCTGTGCAACAGTCCAGGGAATCCTGTTTCCACAAATCTACCTCGATATGTGTATCAGTCGTGTTCCTCATGCACACATCTTTATGTCTTACTAGAGACTGACCTCAACATCTTCTGCCCTCATATAATTCACCAAAGAGTATGTCCTTTGGAACTCCTCCATCTTCAGAGTGTGTCCTAGCCATTTGAGTCTTTGGAGACAGTTGCTTGAAGAGAAATAGAGACAAACAAATAATATAGATAGAGACCTGGATGGAGTTGCAAGAGATGCCAACACTTAGTATGGCTTGGGAGACTGTTGAGGACCTATGCTTCAAATAGAAAATAAAGGGCAACATAAAAAGTGAAATGTATGTGTTAGTCCATTCTTTACTAGCTGTCGTTCTTTTTAATGTTTTTAGTATTGTTTTTAATTTCCTAAATAATTCCATTGCTATTGTTTGTGGAATAATATACACATTTGTATATTTGCAGCATTCCCCCTACAGTCATGCCAGTGGATTATACCCAGCATCTCAACACAGTCAGGTTGCTGCCTACACCACAGTGATCTCTTCCCAGGCCACCCACATCAAGTCGGATATCTCTGACAGCCAAGTGAGTCATTTCTGTGATCTCCAGGCTAATTTTGTTGTCCGCTTGTAAACTTATTTCTCTGAATAAATGTGATGGTTTTCACTTGTATAACACTTTTCTTTTTCTTCTGCTTCTTTCGTTCTCAAAAGGATGGTTTGCATGTTATGTTGCTGGGGTCATGTCAGTGTTATATCATGTATCCCCATGTAGTCTTGTTCCTGCTTTTGCCACTGTTATATCTGCCCATGTTTGTATATATCTCTGCCAGCCAACTGAGTGATTTCTGTGATCTGTTTTGCCTAATTGTTTGTTCCTCTCTTTCTTTGACTTCACAACAACAAATATCTCTCATGCTACATACAAGAAGGTAAAGGATGATAATATGAGAAGATTCTTGATGGCCGTCTGTCATGATATGGAAGATTGTTGGCACATGTGCTGACACATGCTGTTAGAGGTCACAAATTGTGGAAAGGTATGATTGCCTGTGCCAGTCAGTGAGACACTTGATGATGATAGACAGTCACATCATGGTCAGAAGAAACCCTGTTTTCCACTGTCGAAGGGAAAAAAGGGGCAGAACCACAGATTTTTGCAGTTAAAGAAACGACAAATGAGCATGATTTTTGGAGGGCTGGAATGAATTAAAATTATCTACATTAATTTTAAAAGCAAAATAGTTTCAGGGCGTGGGTTATTTAACATACAAGCTCGGTCATGAAGTGGATTAAATGTATATCTTGGGGTTCCACTGTACTTGTATCTGTACTCATTGTTTCTTCATAAAATCCCAGCTAATTTATCATTTCAATTTATCTGTTCATCCTACGGTGGTCAATATTTTTCTGAACTCTTTCAGGTCCATGAATTTTGACATACTTAGCTCACATTTATTGTCCTTTACAAAAACGGCATTTGTGGTGGTGTAAAAATTATAAAAGTCGACTTATTAGGGGTTTCTGTGGAAGTTGGAGTGCATTTGCCTGAGGGGTAAGGAACGTACAGTATTTACACACATAAGCTAGATCTGTCCATAAAAATGTGCACACAAACTCAAGTTCTGGAACAAGCCTGAAGTACAGAAGTGGACAAACAAACAGAACCTTCCGCCAGAGTTTACAGGCAGTGAATGTGAAAAAGAAGAAGAAACATGCAAATGTACCCAAAATAAGAAGATAGCAACAATGGCTTTCTGTAATACAATGATGGAAATAACAATTGCTTCTACTGCTGGTTGTTCAGTCCTGGATGCCCACACTAAGGCTAAGGCAAAAGTTTGTTGCTGTGCTTAACAAAATATTTAAAAAAGGAAAGCACCCCTTTGCACTAGGTCAGTGAAAATGTGGGGCATTTAGATTATATATGTATTTTGGAGACCAATGGGTACTGGTATGCTCGGTGATACAGTCACATTGTGGCAGGCATCTTAACTTCTCGGGACTGGAATGACCTGGGAGGCAAGGTCATTTACACACACACATGCACGCACACGCACACACACACACACACACACGGTTTGGTGCAGATTCTTCTTCTTCTTTGCATTCACAGGCTGTAATCCTTGGCAGAAAGTTCTGGTTATTCGTCACTTCTGGACTTCAGCAGCCTTGCTTCAGAATCTGAGTTTTGTGTGTTTATCTGTTTTACAGATCTGACTTATTTGTATGCAGACTGTTGGTTCCTTGCATCTCAGGCATATGTGCTCTAATGTCTTAGGAAACATCCCTTATTAGTTAACTCTGTGACATGTCTGTTAAGGGCCAGTGAGTATTCTCCCTACCCCACCCCCTCCTCACACACACACATGCAGTGGGGCCCTGAAACCCACACAGGGATGATGTGGATTCAAACCCAAGACCTTAAGGCTGGCAGGCGATTGTCTAGCTTTTAAATCACTATGGCCCCCCTTGACCAAGTAATCCAAGCTTTGATTACATGAATATCATTGAAAATTGTCATGTTGAATAAAGCCTTCATGAAGAGTTATTTATTGAAACCCTTTTGATAATTCAACAGTCACTATCCTACCACTGCAGCCTAGCGGGAATGAGTCCAGCATCTCTGCACCAGCAGTCCCCTCATTCAGTCTCCTCTCCCATCAGTCAGCATAGCACAGATCTCATGTTTTCCACAACCTCTTCTGTCCCCAAATCAGAGCCCACACAGTCACATTTCCCTAAATCAGAGCCCATACAGTCACACCTGGATAGTGTGAGTATGATCTTGTTTCCTTGTATTGTTATTAACATTTTGTTAAAATAATAACCAACATGATCAGACTGTGGGCATCTGTGGTAAAGGCATTGTGTGTGCGCTTTGTAATTTCAAGTTACCCGGTTCAATTCCAGCTTTGGGTGGTTTGGCAGCAGATTGCCTTGAATTGATTTTGACAGAGCTGATTGTTCAGCTAATCAGTACTTGAAGCACTCCAGTCTAGGAAACTACCAGAATTGCAAACAGCGAAGAGTCGTAATACAGTGGATACCGTCTCCTTGTGGAGTGCCTGGAAATGAGAAAGCTGATCAACTGGCAGGGTAAGGTGCGACAAAAGAGCAGCTGGATATACCAGTCACATACCACCAAAAAAAAAGAATCATTAAATCGATCAGGAAACCACCAGCCCCAGCACAAGACGACTATTTTATTATGGACAGACCAGAACAAGTCATTTTCCTCCGCCTCAGAACAGGGCACAACCGATTACGTAACCACATGTACACAAAATTCAAGATAGGTGTATCAGCCATGTGCACCTCAGAACAGGGCACAACCGATTACGTAACCACATGTACACAAAATTCAAGATAGGTGTATCAGCCATGTGCACCTGTGGATATGTGTCCCAGACAGCAGAGCATGTACTCCAGGACTGCACCGAATTTGACACATTAAGGCAAACCTTTTGGCCAGAAAGAACAACAGTGGAACGTAAACTCTATGGACCACTGAATGAACTAACAACAACAGTGAAATTTATACAAGAGACAAAACTGCTGATATAGACAACTTATTTCAGGTGAACGAAAGAAGAAGAAGAAGAGAAGTTAGCAGTGGAAAACTACTGAACATAAAATTGCCTAGTGAAACTAAACTGCCAAACAGTGCTGTGGTTGGTTTTGCAGTGCCTTGTAAATGATACACAACTAACTTGATAACATACAGTGGGAGCCATGGTAGCCACAGCAGTGTTGTAGCTAGATTCTTGCCTGTGGCCTGAAGGTCCAGGGTTCAAATCCACATTGAGAATTTCCCCCCCCTTCCCCCTTAAAGGTCTACTTGGTCCACCCAGCCTAAAATAGGTACCAGGAAATGTCTTGTAATTTTTTTTATAGCTGAGGCCTGTCCAGTTAGTTAAATTTCGGATCCAGGTCTTTGTTGGCCTGTTTTATCTCCTCTTACTCCTGTACTATGTAGTATGATTTGGAAATGTTACTGAATCTTATCAATGCCACACTGTTACATTTTGTTATTTAAAAAAAAATGAGCTTTTATTAAATTCAGTGTTGTTTGTTTATTTGTTACTTCTTCTTTCGCTCACTCCCCTGTACTTAACTATGCAGTATGGTTTGGAAAATTATTAACTTAGTAAAGGCAACATATAATGTCATGAAATGTCGAGTTCTTCATGAGGGGAAAGCTAACAGATACATTTGAAATAAAAACAGGTGTGCGACAGGAATGTCTTTTGTTGCCTTTCCTATTTTTACTGGCTATAGACTGGATTATGAAGACACTAACTGCTAACACCAAGAATAGAATTCAGTGGACCCCTACAAAACAGCTTGACGATCTGGACTTCGCTTATGACATTTCTCTTCTGTCCCATTCATGGAATCAGATGCAGGATAAATTAAATATACTTGATGCGAGATCACAGCACCTTGGTCTGAAAATCCATAAGGGAAAGACAAAGATAAAGAGAATAAATCAGGCAGATAGTAATGTGGTTTCTCTAATGGCACCTCACTCCAAGACGTGGAGTCGTACACCTATTTGGGCAGTAATGTAGATGACGATGGGGAAACTGATACAGATATTAAAATACAAAAGACCAGAGGAGCTTTCATAGCATTAGGAAATTTGTGGAGGTAAAAAAAAATTAAAAGAAATACTAAACTTCAAATTTTTTATTCTTATGTCAAATCAGTACTTTTGTAGGGGGCGGAAACATGAAGAACAACTAAGGCAATTAGTAATGAATTACAGACATTCATTAACTGATGCCTGCGCAGAATAGAGGGAATTAAATGATATGAAAGAATCACTAATGTAGAGCTCCAGTGGACCAAGAGGTGAGGGAAAAACGCTGGCGTTGGATAGGACACACATTGAGAAAACTGGAGAACAGCATAACTAGAATATCTGTGCATTGGAACCCACAGGTGCATAGGAATAAAGGAAGGCCAAAAACACATGGAGAAGAGAGCTGGAGAATGAAGTTAGAAAGATGGGGAGGACATGAGTAGAGCTCCATGTAATGGCGAAGGATAGAACAACTTAGCTTAAGTTGGTTGAGGACCTATGCTCCAAACGTAGATAGAAAGGCAGAAGAAAAAGAATGGCTTGGAAAGGCTAGTTGATCTTATTACGTGCCACACTGTTACATGTTGTGATTTTTATCAGCTTTGATTAAATTATTGTGTCCGGCAGATGTTAGTTCAAGCCTATTTGGTACTTCTTCTTTCCTTATTTGTGTGGTGTCCTCGTTAAAAATGTGATTATTTTATAGCTCTGCAGTGGGAAGGCAGGGGCATCTCTAACATGAATAAATGCTTCACAGTCTTTTTTCATTCACTCAGCCACCGCTTAAAGTTTGACTTTTGCAGGCTGTTCCGGAGATCAGCAGGGAGCAGCTCTTTTACCTAGAAGATTTGTATTGAATTGTTGTTAGCTGTGCCCTGGCGGGCATGAGGAAGCAAAATCTGTCGTCGTCAGATTCCAGTCCACATGTGCACAACAGCTGAATCGGTAAATTGATGTATAGATTGTGTGTGCCTGTGAAGTCGATTGTGCCCTGTTATGAGGCGTAGAAAAATGACACTTTGACTCTGTCTGTCCGTAAAGTCGCCCACAAGAGATATGGTAAATCTCTCGGTTTGTGCCGGTTTTCCATTCGGAACTTTCTGATTGATTGTATTTAAAAACAGTTATTTTGTTACTTTTCTTCTAAGGACTCTCTCTGATAAGAGAGACTGGTACATCAGGTTGTTTTTCCGTATGTAACTTGGGGTACGGAATAATACACACACATCAGACTTCATTGCCTGTGACCGAAATCACCGCGGTTACAGTTTTTATCAGCTTTGATTAAATTATGTTAGTTTATTTGGTACTTCTTCTTTCCTCGTTAAAAATAGATTATTTATATCTGCAGTGTCATCTCTAACATGAACTTCACAGTCTTTTTTAATTCACTCAGCCACCCGTAAAGTTTGACTTTTGCAGGTGTTTCTCTTTTACCTAGAAGATTTGTATTGAATTGTTGTATATGGGACAGCCCTGGCGGGCATGATCTGTCGTCTCAGATTCCAGTCCACATGTGCACATAGCTGAATTTCAATTGTGTAAAGATGTGCCTGTGAAGTCGATTGTGCCCTGTTATGAGGCGTAAAAAAATGACTTTCTCTGGTCTGTCCGTAATATGGGAAATCGTCTTGTGCCGGTTTTGGTAACTTTCTGATTGATTGATTTTATTATTTTCTTCTTCTCTTGATAAGAGACTAGTACATCAGGTTGTTTTATGTAACTTTTACGAGATAAACAACCTATTCATTGTCTGGTCAAGTTTTTGCATTCCATCTTCATATTATATCATGATATGCTGTTTGGCTTAAATTTTACATGCACTTGCTTTTTGGATGGCAGTGCAATGTGGTGACAAAAATATTCAGGCTAAATGTTTTTTTTTTAAAGAATTTTTTTTATAGTGGTATTTTTTTTAAGTCCAGTGTTTTATATAGTCTGTGAATATATGTTGTAAAGAGAAATAATTCCTGTACCAAAGGAGTATTTCACCATCAGCACATTGTCAACACTGTCAAGCACAGGTATATGTGTGTTTACACATTGCTGTGGCTCAGTATGGTGAAATGGAAAAAAAAAAGAATTAAGCGCATATGGTTAATATCACAATCATTGTCTGTGCCGATATAGAGATAGTCTGGTTTGCCGACTATGGAACAAGCAACATATAAGTGTGTCTTTGTATTAAAGGTGGTTTGTTTTTGATTTTGTTTTAAGTTCTTAATTTCATTAGAATGGTTTACTGAGTGCTTAGAGCATAATGGGGTCATGTGGAAAACCAGCGTTTGATCCTCTTTGAAGGATGCAGGTTTTTTCTGTCAGAGGGAGAAAAGATCCTAACCTGCACTGTTTGTGATGCTGCACTAGCAACAGAGCCTTCAATCTTGGGTTCCGGCACTCTCGTTCTACACGGTCAGCAGTGGTAAATATAGGTAGCAAAGACAGTTAAAAGAAGCACATGGCCCAATATGTTTCAAGATGTGGCATAAGATTGTTACATTTTTTCAGACTACCAAGTTTTAGTTCACATGTAATTATAAAGTTCACATGTAACAATGAAATCTATTGAAGGTTTCCTTAAAACTTTTTTCCCCCTCCTAGTCACCCAGAGTACCGACTCCCTCCGAAACACATTGCAGCATTTTAGACTCTCACAGTAACGGAGAGGAGCTGAGCAGTTCTATGTACAACATCTATAAAACAGTCTTTGAAAACTCCTCAGGTGAGTGAGTAATTATCTATTTGTCTGAGATACATATGCTACTGTGTGTTTGCTAAGCCCGGTTAATTGTTCGCTGTCATGACGTTTTAATCACACACTTGTCTTCGGTCTGGAAGATCCCCAGGCTGGAATTACTTTACACAAGCGGTTCCCAGGCAGCTGAGACCTGCAGACACCTTATTTTCAAATGTCTGCCAAAGACACTATACTTGTTAATGGTCATACTAGAACTTATTGTAATTTATAAATATTGCAGTTGAAAAAATATATAAATTGCATTCTAAAGCTAAGGCTTCTTTAAAAAAAAATAATATCACTGGTGCATCAGGTTGTTTTGTGTGACTAGTTTACAAGATAAACAACCTATTCAATGGTCATACTAAAGAGCTTATTGCAATTTATAAATATTGCAGTTGAAAAAAAATTAATTGCATTCTAAAGCTAAGGCTTTAAAAAAAAATCACTGGTACATCAGGTTGTTTTTTGTGACTAGGTTACAAGATAAACAACCTATTCCTTGTCTGGTAAAGTTTTTGCATTCTGTCTTCATACTAAATCATGATAGCTTACATTTTCCACACACATGCTTTTTAGATGGCAGTGAGATGTGGTGAAAACAAAATATTCAGACAAAATAAAAAAAAAATAAAAAAATAAAGAGACAAAAATAATATCACAAACCCTTTAAATTTCTTCTGCCGCCACCCTCTTCCAACCCCTTAATTTATTCTCTCCTCCCCCGCCCTTTTTTTCCCTCGGAGTCCATGAACCACCACGTGGGGAATATTGCTTTTAAGTATAACTTCATAAATGCTTGTGTAAAAGTATCTAAAATAATGACCATGTGGAACATATGATTTTAAGGAATAACCACCTGGAATTTTATGATCATCATCATTAGTATCATCCACTTTTGCTGTCAGGAGTCACTGAAAGAAATAGTTTGGTCACTTAGGGGGTGGTACTGGTTCATTGTGTTTCAATGTGTGAGTCTTTAATGTCACTGTGAGCAATAGTTTAGTCACTTAGTGGGTGGTAGTGGTTCATTGTGGTTCTGTGTGTATGTCTCTAATGTCACTTGGAGAAATAGTTTAGTCACTTAGTGGGTGGTACTGGTTCATTGTGGTACGGTATGTATGTCTTTAATGTCACTGGGAGCAATAGTTTAGTCACTTAGTGGGTGGTAGTGGTTCATTGTGGTACGGTATGTATGTCTTTAATGTCACTGGGAGCAATAGTTTAGTCACTTAGTGGGTGGTAGTGGTTCATTGTGGTTCTGTGTGTATGTCTTTAATGTCACTGGGAGCAATAGTTTAGTCACTTAGTGGGTGGTACTGGTTCATTGTGGTTCTGTGTGTATGTCTTTAATGTCACTGGGAGCAATAGTTTAGTCACTTAGTGGGTGGTAGTGGTTCATTGTGGTTCTGTGTGTATGTCTTTAATGTCACTGGGAGCAATAGTTTAGTCACTTAGTGGGTGGTAGTGGTTCATTGTGGTTCTGTGTGTATGTCTTTAATGTCACTGGGAGCAATAGTTTAGTCACTTAGTGGGTGGTAGTGGTTCATTGTGGTACGGTATGTATGTCTTTAATGTCACTGGGAGCAATAGTTTAGTCACTTAGTGGGTGGTAGTGGTTCATTGTGGTTCTGTGTGTATGTCTTTAATGTCACTGGGAGCAATAGTTTAGTCACTTAGTGGGTGGTAGTGGTTCATTGTGGTTCTGTGTGTATGTCTCTAATGTCTTTGGGAGCAATAGTTTAGTCACTTAGTGGGTGGTAGTGGTTCATTGTGGTTCTGTGTGTATGTCTTTAATGTCACTGGGAGCAATAGTTTAGTCACTTAGTGGGTGGTAGTGGTTCATTGTGGTTCTGTGTGTATGTCTTTAATGTCACTGGGAGCAATAGTTTAGTCACTTAGTGGGTGGTAGTGGTTCATTGTGGTTCTGTGTGTATGTCTTTAATGTCACTGGGAGCAATAGTTTAGTCACTTAGTGGGTGGTAGTGGTTCATTGTGGTTCTGTGTGTATGTCTCTAATGTCTTTGGGAGCAATAGTTTAGTCACTTAGTGGGTGGTAGTGGTTCATTGTGGTACGGTGTGTATGTCTCTAATGTCACTGGGAGCAATAGTTTAGTCACTTAGTGGGTGGTAGTGGTTCATTGTGGTTCTGTGTGTATGTCTTTAATGTCACTCGGAGCAATAGTTTAAACACTTAGTGGGTGGTAGTGGTTCATTGTGGTTCTGTGTGTATGTCTTTAATGTCACTGGGAGCAATAGTTTAGTCACTTAGTGGGTGGTAGTGGTTCATTGTGGTTCTGTGTGTATGTCTTTAATGTCACTGGGAGCAATAGTTTAGTCACTTAGTGGGTGGTAGTGGTTCATTGTGGTTCTGTGTGTATGTCTTTAATGTCACTGGGAGCAATAGTTTAGTCACTTAGTGGGTGGTAGTGGTTCATTGTGGTACGGTGTGTATGTCTCTAATGTCACTGGGAGCAATAGTTTAGTCACTTAGTGGGTGGTAGTGGTTCATTGTGGTTCTGTGTGTATGTCTTTAATGTCACTGGGAGCAATAGTTTAGTCACTTAGTGGGTGGTAGTGGTTCATTGTGGTTCTGTGTGTATGTCTTTAATGTCACTGGGAGCAATAGTTTAGTCACTTAGTGGGTGGTAGTGGTTCATTGTGGTTCTGTGTGTATGTCTTTAATGTCACTGGGAGCAATAGTTTAGTCACTTAGTGGGTGGTAGTGGTTCATTGTGGTACGGTGTGTATGTCTCTAATGTCACTCGGAGCAATAGTTTAAACACTTAGTGGGTGGTAGTGGTTCATTGTGGTTCTGTGTGTATGTCTTTAATGTCACTGGGAGCAATAGTTTAGTCACTTAGTGGGTGGTAGTGGTTCATTGTGGTTCTGTGTGTATGTCTTTAATGTCACTGGGAGCAATAGTTTAGTCACTTAGTGGGTGGTAGTGGTTCATTGTGGTACGGTGTGTATGTCTCTAATGTCACTGGGAGCAATAGTTTAGTCACTTAGTGGGTGGTAGTGGTTCATTGTGGTTCTGTGTGTATGTCTTTAATGTCTTTAGGAGCAATAGTTTAGTCACTTAGTGGGTGTTACTGGTTCATTGTGGTTCTGTGTGTATGTCTTTAATGTCACTTGGAGAAATAGTTTAATCACTTAGGGGGTGGTAGTGGTTCATTGTGGTTCTGTGTGTATGTCTTTAATGTCACTTGGAGAAATAGTTTAATCACTTAGGGGGTGGTAGTGGTTCATTGTGGTTCTGTGTGTATGTCTTTAATGTCACTGGGAGCAATAGTTTAGTCACTTAGTGGGTGGTACTGGTTCATTGTGGTATGGTGTGTATGTCTTTAATGTCACTGGGCGCAATAGTTTAGTCACTTAGTGGGTGGTAGTGGTCACTGTGGTTCTGTGTGTGTCTTTAAGGTGAGGGACCAAGATGAAATTGTAAATTTTGACCATTTTGGGTTTCGGTACATAATTCACAATTATTCATTGTAGAAAACAGCTGTACAAACGGGGCTTAGAAATTAATGTGTTTTCAAAGCTCTATTTCTGCATTTGTGAAGCATGTGAAACTTGTTTATCTAAGTTTTAAAGCTCATTACGTATGCAAAAACTTGACTTGTAGTTGACTTAGAGACTTCATTTAAGTTGAAATTGTTCTGTTGTATGAGCCCAGTACAACCTATTTTTATGGCTGACAGCATAAAAGACAAATTTTCATTGGTCCTTTTGATGAGGAAATGCTTTATTCAGCCAATCAGAGCACGCGTCTCATACAAAAAACCCATTGCTGACTGGGGGTGTCCACAGTTTTTGTTGTTATACGCCGAAGACAGTTTTCTGTTGAGAAAACATATTGTGTAATCAGGGGCAGAAGAAAGGTAAAAAGAGGCGATAGACCAAGAAAAGGTACATTTTATGGGAGTCAGTACTGTGAGAAACAGGAACAAGAAGCTGGAAATAAAGACATTAGTTGTTTTGATGATCTAAACCAACCATCTACGTCTGCTTCTAAAATCAAACTAGGGCCTTAAACCTCACAGACTGAGTTTGATTTGTCGACTTTCAGCTTTTGATTAACTTTGTAAATACTTTATTATGCAGTCAGTGTGGAAAACCTCTAGGCGAGAATATGTCCTGTGTAACTGAAAAAAAGACACTCGCTTGCCTCAAAGTTCACTTTCCACTGTCAGCGTCAACATAAAGTTTCGTTTATGTCCTTCGCTTATGTCCTCTGCAAAATGTGGGAAAACTTACGAAGTCCTCATAAGGTACACACTTACTCTCTTTGCTATAGGAAGGAACTATATGCGTTAAAAAAATTCTTGGCATTATGAACATGTCAACAAATATGCATAAAAGCAGTTTATCTTTTCATAAGAAGAAAATTCCTCATGCTACAAAGACTGTTGCACACACAAGTATGCAGAGAGTTGGAAAAGAAAGAAAAAGCCATAACAGTATCCTGTGATGGCACATGGCAGAAAACTTTAGTGATTCTATTCTATTCTATTTGTCTTCTTCACTTTTACCGGGTTGCAGCCCAGTGTCGTGGTTTAAAATATTTGTTTTGTCCCTCTCGCGTGATTTGAGTGACAGTTTTCTTGATCTTCTGGCCGTTATTCAGCTACTCCATCTATCCATTTTTTCCTGGGTCTTCCTCTCGCCTTTCTTCCCGATGTTCTATTGTAAAAGGCCTTATAGGCAATCTGATCCGGTTGCATTCTTACTAAATGACCAAACCACTTTATTCTCTGTTTTTCAATATGTTCCATGCATGCTCTTGTTCCAACTTTGTCTCTAATGCTGACGTTTGTGACTCTGTCTCTTCGTGTATTGTTGGTGACTCTTCGGAGACATCGCATTTCACACGTAGTTATTTTTTGCATATGTGATTTGTTCATTGTCCACGTTTGGCACTGATAACATAACGTAGGGATGAAAATGCTGTTGATCATCCGTTGTTTGGCTGGTAACGAGAT